GCTGACAGTCTTACGGGCACTCCCTTGTAGGTAACTAATTGTTTTTCTCTTGCTGTTTTTAAGATTCTCTCTGTCTTTAACCTTTGGCATTTTCATTATGATGTGTCTTGCTGTGGGCCTCTTTGGTTCATCTTGTTTGGGACCCTCTGTGCTTCCTGGACTTGTCTGTCTATTTCCTTCACCAGGTTACAGAAGTTTTTCATCATTATTTTTTTCAAATAAGTTTTCGATTTCTTGTTCTCTCTCTTGTCCTGGAACCCCCATGATGCAAATGTTAGTTGTCCCACAGGCTTTTTTTATTTTTTATTTTTACTGTTCTGATTGGGTGTTTTTTACTTCTTTCTCTTCCAAATTGCTGATTTGATTCTCTGTTTCATCTGCTCCACCACTGACTCCCTGCGATGTACATTTCATTTGTTAGTGTATTCTTCACTTTTAATTGGGCCTTTTTTTATGTTTCTTATCTCCATTTTTTTATGTTTCTTATCTCTTTGTTGAAATTCTCACTAAGATCATTGAGTTTCTTTGTAACCAGTGTTTTCAGCTCTGTGTCTGGTAGATTGCTTATCTGCATTTTGTATAATTCTTTTTCTAGAGTTTTGTCCTGTTCTTTCATTTGGGACATGTTTCTTTGTCTCCTCATTTTCACTGCCTCCCTGTGTTTGTTTCTATGTATTAAGTAAAGTTGACATGTCTCCCAGTCTTGGAAAAGTTGCCTTATGTAGTAGATGTCCTGTGGGGCCCATTGGCACAGCCTCTCTGGTCACCAAATCTGGGAGTTCCAGGTACAACACCATGTGGGCTCTGTATACCCTCCTGTAGCCAATGAGCTTCCATTGGTGTTGGTATGTCAATGAGAGGGATTTACCCTTAGAATGATCAGCCTTAAGTAGTGGCTATGGCCACAGCAGAGAAGCTGCTGTGCAAGGGTTGATCCCACGGAGCGCGCCAGAAGGACTCTGATACCTGATGAGTCCACATCTTGAGCATGTTGCTGGTAGAGGTGACTAGGTGGTGCTCTGGTGTGCTCTGAAGCTGGCCACCCTGTGCTCTGGTCCTGGGGCCTCCTAGGAGGTAAAGGCTAAGACCAGCTGCTGCCTGTACCCTCCCCAGGACCACCAGCATGAGCTACAGAGCAATCTTCAGATGGCTGTCACTTGTATTGGGCTTGAAAAGGACCAGGAGAAGCCAAGTTGCAAACTGAGGTTGGCTACCACTAGTGCCAGGCCTGGGGCCACTTAGCCAAAAGTGTGCAGCACACAGAGGTCAGATGCTATTTGTTTGGGGGGGTGAATCTTTGAGAGATTTTAGGGAAGTTCACAGCATGAGCCAAGACAGGCTGTTTTTATGGAATAGCCACTGGAAGAAGATTGGGTGGATCCAAAAGCTGGGTGGGACAGGGTCTCAGGGAATCACCAGAGCAGGGCATGGCAAGGGTCTGCTGGCTTTGCAGTGGTAGAAATAAGCAAAGCAACAAAGGCCTCTGTCAACTCTTCTGTCTGAAAGAAAGCTGCCCCTCCAGCCCTCATCTTGAAGCCAGACAATTCAGTTCCTTTCCATGTGTCCCTGATGAACCTTTTGAGCTGCTGCTTGAATGCTGGAGCTCAGAGCCAGTGTTTCCAAGTAAGTCTGGGCACAGGCTCTTTGTTACGCAGAGCCCTCTTTGTCACTAAGTAACAATCTCTGCTTGTTTCCACAGCCAGAAGTTATGGGGACTTCTCTTTCCAGCACTGGACCCCTGGGCTGGGGACCCTGATATAGGCTGGGACACCTCGCTCCTCAAGGAGGGCCTCCAAAGCTGAGGTATTCCTCTTGATTTTTAATTGACACAAGTGGATGTGCAGCCACCCCATTCCACATCTCTGCCCCCCCCCCCATCAGTCTCAATGTGGCTTCCTGTTTATATTCGTAGTTATAGAACTTCAGTTCCGCTAGATTTCAGGTGGTTCTTAATGATGGTTGTTCTGGATTTTGCTTGTAATTTTGATGTGGTTGTGGGAAGTTCTGAGTACTGCATTTACCTACACTGTCATCTTGACTGGATGCTAAATAACATTTATTTGCATTGCTATAGAAAAAGAGCCATTTGCATTATTATTGGTTTTTTAAAATTATTTCTATCCTTACAGAGTTATATAATAGACTGGTTGATGAATATTCAAAGGTGTGAGATAGGTTATGTGGCAAAACAGCTGCAATTGGTAAAAGCTTCATGAACTGTCAACAAGAAAGTAACCCCGCCCCCCCCTCCCCACCACATTTATTGCTAAAAACTGGCAGAGACCAGCTTAATCCACTGTGAGGACTAATTACACCTAACAGTAACCCCTAGCCTTATACACTCATTGTAACACATCAACATAAAAATGACACACCTCACTGCTATGATTAGAATCAGAAAGCCCATGCACATGGCTGATGGATATCCTCCAAGAAATCTCCAGTCCTTTCCTGGGAGGATCTTAAATATTCCTTCCCCTTATTGAGTACCCTACCCCCTCGATTAAATGAACCTCAATAAAGGAAACAAATCCTCTAAAGGAGAGCTGCTTTTTCTGTGGAGTAGCCCACTTTCTGTCTCACTGCTTCACTAATAAACATACTTTCACTTTAAACTCTATGCTGGCTTGTATTTGAATTCTTTCCTACCCAAATCCAAGAACCCATAGTGGTTCTCGGACCCTCAGGACCTCGGACCACCAGAAAGCCTGTATTGGGTGCACATCTTCATAAAATCAGCTACTTTCCTGAAGGTCTGTTAGACAATGTCCAACACTGCATTGTAAAGACACCTGCAGTTTCCAAGTCTTGGACATTTGCCCCCTGATATTAGCAAGATATCACTATTTCCTATTCCAAGACAAAATGGTATTCCCTGGTCTGGATACACAAAGAATTCTTATGGCATGTTAAAAACCTTTTGATTAAAAGGTCGAGTAAAAGTACAAATAGCATGGAGTGCCAGAAGTTTTTACTTTGATTTTTTTCACTTTCTAAATTTGAAAGGTAGAATTTTGTGGTGGTTAATAACACAGATTCTGGAGTCCAACTGCCTGGCTTTGAATTGCAGCTCCAAGACTATGCAACGTTGGGCAAATTAGTTCACCTCTCAGTGCATTTTCCTCATTTGAAAAATATTAATGATAGTATTTATCACATAATTTTAATGATTAAATGATAATTTATTAATAAATAATAATAAAGTAATCTTTATTTAGTTATTATTAAGCATTATTTGTGTGTGTGTGCAAAACTTAGAACTGTGCCTGGCACATGGTTAACATTATAAGGATTTGTTAAACAAAATTCTACAATATAGCACAAATGGAGGTAGAAGGAGAAAGGGTTCACTTTTAAATCTTTAAAGGCATTTCTCATGAATACTCATGGAACTGTGAGGGGTGTACTCTGGGCTTTTATTCCAGTATTGCCATTACTTAAGAGAAACTGCTTACTCCTGAATTACCTAACACTAAAGACATCTCAACCAAGATACCATTAAGTTTTCTTTTAATACTAATCCTGTGGGGAAGTTTCTTCATTTGAAGGAAGTGCAACATTTAGTTTCCTGTAGGGAAATAACATTTCTTCTAAAGATAACTTGACCCCACTACCTGTAATGACAACTTTAGCATTATTATACTGAAGAAACACATACTTGAGAATGGATCTAAACTATGAAGGACAGAGAGCTTCATTCCCATCTAGATTATTTTTTATTCTTATATTTTCCCTGATCTCAGTTCATTCTACTAGCCAAGAACAATCACCTGAGCTGAAATGAACTTGACCTTTTCTTGGATCTCAAATACACCAGTCAGCAATGGTCTGAAAACAAATTAAAAACTCCAAGCATTCCATAAACCTATAAGACATTAGAGGAAGCTTTAATATGTGTACAATACAGAAAATAGAGAGCATATGTGTCAAGGTAGTGGAGAAAATTGATACAAGGCAGGCCAAGCTACCAGCATGATGTTCTCACCATATATGGTGCATCTTTCTTTCCCCCACAATAAATCTATGAAATGGGTATCACTAATATTTTCTCCTGAATTGAAGGAAGCTTAGATTTAATCTCTTTCCAAGGTCACACAGCAATTCCATGGCCCATATTGTGAGACTTGATCTGAACAAAAATTTTAGCAAAATGGAAAGTTCCTATTTCATGCATTCTTCTCTTCAGGTTTGTGGTCACACACTGTAGGTGCTTCTTGGAGTCATATGCAGTCTGGAGAATGTTTTCGTGACTTGAGACCAAAGATTGAGGTGGCTTTAAACCAGTAGCCAAAGCAAATATAACCTTTTCCTTTTCCCTGCTGCCATATTTCTAATCACCCCTTGGTATAAAATCACATCGAGACTTGTTTTATTTAGGAGTAGGTCCAGAAATATTTTCCAAATACATATTCCAGTTTTCAAGAAAAATTTTTAAAATCCAAATATTTTGTTTTAAAGTTTTTATTTAAACAATATAAATATATATTTTTATATATAATATTAGAAAAGTCAACACTGTCAACAGAATAAAATTTCATTGTCACCATAATTATATAGTTTATTTATCTCTTACACTCTTGCCAATTTTAACGTTCTAGGTATATTTTATTTTTACTCCAATTAAAATGGTACCCTTGCTGAAATATTTAATGGTCAAAGAAACTAATTTTTTCCTAATTTTGGCTAAGCCAAAAAAATAATGATAATTTCTCACTTCAAGGATGTTAGTGAACAAGATATTCTCTTGGCCTTTGAAGGTATCTATTTTCAAACTTAATAGCAGAATCAAGTAAAAATTGACAGTGAGGGTTTTTAATATGAAAAATCTTATGTATTTTGTATAATCATTTATGTATATGATCATTTATCTATGGCCTATAGATTTTACCTTATTTTATTATATATGTCACTATTTAATGGTACATTAGGCACATAACAATTATGTAATAAATACTTATTGAACTGAAGCAAATTGGCAAACACCATTAATTATACCATTCCTAACAACCAATGTCAACGTTGTTTTTCTGAATTTTGGTGACACGATGTGATAGGGTGTCATATTTAAGTTTGTTAGATCCTTGGTAAAAATAGTAGTGTCCTAAAAATGAAAACAAATTGAATAGGTTAATTCTCTGCTTGTATTTCTTTTAAAAAATAATATAGATCTGTGTTTTTATAGATTATCTACATTAAACAAGGTTTGATTCAAGTATATAAATGTTGAGTCCCTTGGCCCCCAGATCTCCACCTACTGCCAGTCATTTTACCATTAAATATTTTCATTAATTCTATTGAGAAGGTTGTTTAGTTTTAAAGGCTGACTATTAACATGCAAATGTTTTTTAAAAGTTACACTTCAGGTGGAGAACTAAAAGAGGAGATTGGGCCCAGGTAGAGCACACAGAAGCCTTCATGGAGGAAGTAAAATGGACATGGGGGTGGGAAGAAAAAACAAAATATCTTGACCCACTCAACAATTTGCTTAGGTTGATCTTACCTAAAGACATTCACAAACAGTAACTCAAACAAACTCAAGCTCTTCTCATTCCACCCTCAGCCCCAGTCTTTGAGAGCCCACGAAGAGTGAAAGGAGATGAAAGGAAGGTAAAGAATCCGAGGTATAAAAAAGTATGAAAGATTCAGTGTTTTAAAAAGAGATTTCAAGTATTGTCATAGTTTCCTAATCTACTTACTGTTATAATAAAAGACTGCATCAATTTTAGGCTCAATTCCCGGGAAGTGTGCAGCAGTCAATTTGGGATAACCAGGGTCCATGAGTCGTCTCCTCTCATCATACCTGAGCAAAAATAACCAGCAGGAACTTCATCAGAAATAGATTTCATGACATAAATTTGACATTTCATGACATGAACAACAAAACCTACCTATTTCTCTCCTGAAAGGTTCATAAGGATTTAAACTGAACTGATGAGAAAACCAAGGACCTAAAGAGTTCGGATTTATTCCAAGTCCTTACAAGACTCTAACCTAAATCTTCCTGACTACTAGTCAAGCACTTTCCTCACTCTTCCACAACACTTCCACCAGTTCCATTCGTGCTTTATAGAGTTTGGTTGTCTAATTTCCTGTTAGTGAAGACCTTGCGGGATCAGCTATCACTCAGAGGATGATTTCCTCATATTGTATTATTGGGTCCAATGATTATGGAAAGGAATCTGAAGTTCCTAACTCTCAAGACTAGGTCCCATACATCTCTACCACTCCTTTCCAGTGTTTCCACTATGATTAATACCGTGACAGTTTATTTAAAGTGTTCCTTTAAAATACATTATGTGTTATCTCATAAATCAGAATCTAAAAGTCCAGAGAAAAGGTCTGGATTGACAATAACTGTGCCAGTCTTGTATTCTCTTGATTTCTCTCCCTGGAAGATCAAAAATCTTTGGGAATTTGCATAGAAAGCTATCTTCTGGAAAACCCCATTCCCTGCCTGTTTCACAGTCTTAGGGGTCAAATTTACTAATCATTAAAGCTCACCTCCAATATTTTTGACCTACAAAGAAGTAGGTCTTATAACGAAGTGGATTAAAAACAGCTGCATCAATTTTTTTTACAGAGTCAGGAAAGCCAAAAGAACGTATGCTCCTGGGATACCTTGGTTCTGGTCTTAAGTTGTTGATTAACCAGTACTTATCATCTGTGAATACAAGGAAAAAGGTACATTGGAATCATATAGAAAGAGTAATAGAAATATGTATTGACTTACTGAGAACATCATTCTTTTCCCATAATTCCAAAATGTATTGTTCCTTGCTCTTAAGTATGGCCTATCTCCTATGGTTCTGCATTCTCCCCCTACAAGTATTTCAATCTATATTTTACAAACTTTTCCTGAAAGTTTTATGTATTGTCTGTTTAATCTTTTTAGGTTATAGTTCAGAGTACAATTAATACAATTTGGAGTGCTCTTTTTAAATCTATGTTTATAAAAAGTAATAGTATTTCCTTAATTTATTCTCTTCCTTAAAGTAGATCCAACAGCAAAACTAAACAACAGAATTACCTTTAAAAAGAAAAATGTGTTGTCTGGTTCCAATTTCATAAGCAGCTTGAATACCAGATGGTACTTTTGGCCATAAAGAAGAAATTAAACTAATATTGGCCTTTGGATTCCCAGGAAGCTTCATCCAGAAGGAACTGACATGTAAAACATTAAATACATGTTAAAAATAGTTGTAGATTCAAGAACAAGAAAATGTGAGTGGAAAGGACCTGTGAAATGATTTAATGTTTCTTTCTATGATCTTCACATACTATTCCATGGATGTCTGTGTAGGAGCACCACCAGGAAAAAATGTTAACCAATTCTTTGATAATAGCAATGGTATTAATAGCCAAACTGTTATATGGAAATGTCCTGGATCTTGTAATCAAGGGATCTAGGTTTTAGTCTGGTCCCACAATCCATTCACTAGCTTTATAATCTAAAGGGAGTCACTTATCCTCAAGTGTCTCAGTGTTTGAATCTCAAAAATGAAGGATATTTGTCCTTCCTCCCAAATACTAATCTCCTATACTCTCCCACACCTCCAATATCTGCTGCAATCTGTAAACAAACCATAAGTCATCCTGGAATTCCCTTCTCTATAATCAAGAATCAAATCCTTTTAATAAGTACTCTGTCTCAGCTTTAGTTCCAGACACTATTTTTATCTATGATTAAAATACTTTGGTCTCTCTGTTTCCTGTGTTATCTTTCCCCAACCCAGATTCTTAATGTAAATCCATTATTTACACACCAGTTTTCTAGTTACGATATAAATATAATCATACTACTGTCTTGCTTCAAAATCTTCAAGATCTCTCCAATGCCTACAGTATGAAGTCCAAGTACTTACTCACAATTTTTATCTACTTAATTTTCCATCGTTTTCTATTATTCCCCAACAACAACCATGACAAAACCCACCTTAGAAGAGAGCCTTTAAACTTGGTCAGGAATAAAAATGATCCTACCTGTTTTTAAAGAAAAAGATTTTCATTCCAACTGTAGTGATAGCATCAAAACGCAAATTGGGGTCACAGAGATCTGATTCTGCAGGGCTAAGAACTGATGGGAATTGGTGCTTTTCTGGACCTCCTGAAAATACATTTCAAGTGCATTAGAAAAAAATCTAGTTTTTGGTTCATAAGTGGAAGAATCGTTTTTAAAATATAGTTAATTTTCTTGAAGAGAAAAGCATAAAAATCAATTTATACTTTCTATAACATTTACAGGAAGCATAAAATAAAGGTTTTTTCCCAGGTGGCTGCAACGTTATGGAGAAAAAAATCTGTTCACTCTGGTTTTATTGTTCCAGTTATATTTTTTTCTCTGTGTGCCTTCTTCGACAGGCAATGGTATGTCAGATAGAAAGAACAGATTTGAGGCCAGAGGCTTAGGTTTTGCCTCTGGCTCTGGCGTTAACATACTAGGTCTCTTGTGCTCATCTGTAGAAATGAATATAATATCTGTGCTACTTACCTCACAGGGTTTTCATGGGGTTCAAAAGTGAATACAGATGTTAAAGTTTGATCCAAATGCAGGTATCATGAAACCATTCATAAAAGTGAGTATCTTTATAAGGCAAAATGGTAAAGAAATTCAACTCACCATAGAGAGACTGAATGCCACGTATATCATCAAGAGAGAGGCGAAATGTGTTGGGGTCAACATAACGGTAGTTGGGAAACATTATGGCCTTTGGATCTCTGGAATGGTCAAGACCCAAGGAATGGCCAATCTCATGAACAGCAACCAGGAACAAGTTGGTGCCTAAGAGGAATCCAACCAGAAGGGGAAAAGAGCAGTGAAATATATAGGCATCTAGAAGACAATAACACGATTTAAATCTGACACTATGAAAAGGGAAACACTTGGGAATCTTTTACTTGGTTCCCCTCCTTGCACAAGGTTTTCCAACCTTGGCACTATTGACATCGTAGGCCAGATAATTGTTTATAAATCTCTGGCTTACCATTAAGTAAGTAGCAAACTCCTCTTCAGTTTTCACAACCAAAATGTCTCCACACATTGTCTAATGTCCCCTTGGGGAAAAATTGCATCTGGTTAAGGACTACTGCACTATCACACAAATGATATATATTTTGTTGTGAAAATTTCTAGAATAACTCATAGCTGTGTTCAATATTTCTCACTGCCTCTAAGTCATTCACACTTCATCCCACTTTTACTCTTAATCAGTCTTGAATGGATATTAAAAAAAAGTCTTTAATAGCCATCCTTTACTAAACCCAAATATAAGGCCATATTAAGCTCCAGGTACTATAAGACATTGGAGAAATAGATCACATTCTGTCTAACACTTATACAACTGAAAGGAAGCCACCATACTTTCTACTTACAGGTGAGGGCACAGTATCAGCAAGATTGATTGACCAAATTAAGTGCTGACCCAAGATTCAAACCTGAATTTCTTGACTCTAAATAAAGCTCATCCTTTTACTATATATGATTCTAGATGAAATCAGAGACTATCCTTACAAATTATATATGTTTATGCTGACAAGTTATAGTCAGTCCTGTTCGTTATTTCTGTATGCCCTAGAGCATGTACCTTTGAAGGTAAGAAAGAGGGTGGTGTCCTATCTCTCAAGCTTCTCAATTCCCAGAGGATTTGAATAACCCCTTACTAGTTTTTATGTGTTCTAGTCTAATGCCCTCATTTTTGCCTTTGTGTTTCTGTGACAAAACTGGAGCTCAGAACTGACTTGCCCAGGGTCACACTTCACCTAGCCTCAGAGCCTGGCCTTGAAACACTCCCCAGTACCCAAGTGTGAACATAGAGTCCACACTTCTCTCTTGGGGGTTTGTAGAAACATTCCCTATAACACAGGGGTTCAGCAACTAATTCAGAAATGCTTTCATTTCTCTCAAAGAATGAAAAAGAAGCATAGATTCTGTTATTCTCTGTGTTCTGCTTAATACTGGGAAGAGTAAACAAAGCATTTTATATTTTGGCCTAAACCTAAATTTATCTTATTCCCAATTCATATAATATTTTGTATATAAGACCACAACTGGTCCTTATGTCAAAATAATGGATTTCTGTTTGTGTTCTGTTTTTTGCTAAATTGTGTGCTCCTCCAGGGCACTACTGCATCTTTTTCATCTTTGTATCCAAACACTCCCATGGCATTAGCTAACACTATAACAGAAACTCAGTAACCATTGAGCTCATTGTTCATTTAATTTACTGTTTAAAAAATTAAGTTGAGAATGAGCACTATAAGTTAGGCTTTTTATTATTTAGCTATTTAAAAATATAGAATCAAGGTCATTAAAAATAAGGCAATATGGACAGGTAGAAAGTACACACTAGACTAAGATAAGAATTAAGAAAAGCATATTCTGACCCTAGATTTCACAAGATAGCCACTACCTATCTCTTGGTCTCAACTCCCTCTAACTGTTAAAAAAAACTGTATTAAGTGGTTTTTCTAAGGTCCTTCAGAATTCCAAAACATTCTAGCTAACTAGCACAAGTCTCCCACATCAGATGAAATTATTATAATCCCAAACACCCTTGGTTATAAACCCCAAATACCCTCTTGCATAAAATTTAGACAAATTTAACATGTCTAGCTGAGAATTGGTAGTTCAGCAAAAACCTAATCCTACATCATTTGTCTTTTTTTTTTTAATTATTATTAATATGTCTTTATTAATTTCAGAGAGAGGAAGGGAGAGGAAGAGAAAGATAGAAACATCAATGAAGAGAGAATGTCATTGATTGGTCACCTCCTGCAAGCCCCTTAACCAGGGATCAAGCCTGCAACCCGGGCATGTGCCCTGACCAGGGATTGAACCACAAGCTCCTGGATCATAGGTCAGTGCTCAACCACTGAGCCATGCCAGATGGGCCATCATTTGTCTTTTGACAATACAAAAGAACTCTTATCACTCAAGAATTCTGTAAGTGTAAAACCATGTGTCAGACTAAAACAAATAATCTTTCTAATCTATAAACTATTGGTATCTAATGTTTGCAATATCAGCCAGAGAAAGGGGGTGCTGAGTAAAGCATATTCTTGATGACTTTCTCTCCATTTACTTTATACCTGTGTCAGTCATATAATCTAGGATTCCCAATAGAGAGATTAAGAAGGCTTCTGATAGGATGGCTTGAATTTTCCAATGGGCAGTGATTCCTCCAAACAAGGGAGACTAATTATTCACATCTTCCAACTTTTTGATAAGAATGATGACTTACAGTCCCTCTATAAATACATACAAGTTATTATTAAACGGTCAGTTGGGCATTCTGAAATTTTTTCCCAGAACCACCAGAGACTACATGAGCATATAACATTGTGTATCTCTATGAGGTACTCTAAATTCTCTATAGCATCATCTTTCTGTGTCACTATTAATCTAAGAAATTATCAGCTTATGATGGATCAGGAAGATAGTCACACTATTTTAGGATTGTTAGCATACACAGAATTAGTATCTGTTTGCGGGACTGAAAGTGTTCTTAAGGTTCTTGAGTTTAAACTAAACAACTAGCTCATCCTCAGATTCCTAGAACTGATCTTTAAGATAATCTTGTCCAATATCCTCAACTTAGAGAGTGTAAAATTGAGACAGTATTGCACTTTACTTAGTGGCAAAATTATCATCAGAACAAGTTTCCTCATTCTATAATCCTTCCTCAGAATGTAGCCTTTCAAAATGGTGGTGTAATTTAGAATCCGTTAGGCTTTTCCTTTGTGGTTTTGTTTCTTTGTTTGCCTACCTTGGTAGTTTTTAGTCCAAATTTCATCTTCATCAAAATGTGTGTCGCCTCCAATACCAGGTCCAGGTCCAAAAGCATGAGCTATGACTCCGCCTCTGCCATCAAAAGGGTAGTAGTCTCCATGAGCTTTTAAAAAAGAAAAGGAAATTAGTCTTTCTCTTTGACATGCCACAGGCCATGTCAAATGATAGGCGTGAAGTCAGTCCAAGTTGTCTACCTCTGCGCCCAAAACGAATCACAATGTCAGCCTCGCGTGCGTAAACCTTCGTGAATTTCAGGGGGGTCACCTGGCTCCATACTTGAAAAGCTTTCTGGATGGCATGGTCAACATCCTCGCGCTTCATGTCAGGAGTGTAATTATCTATTCTTTATCAGCAAAATGAAAAAAGGAAAAATATATGAAACCTATGTGTTAATTTGGTCTTATTATGATACTCCAATAGCATCATTGGAGAGTGAATTTTTTTTATTTCACAAATTAATTGTCCTGATTAAAACAAACAAACGTGCTTCTTATACTATAGAAACATTTATCCTTGGACAGCTTCCTCCTTAAACAGAATCTAACTTAATTCCTTCTCATTTATTATTTACAGGTCACCATTACGAACAGTTTACATTCACAGAAGCATATGCCTTTTGCCCCTGCTCCAAGACTTCTGCATTTATTCATCCTGACTACTCCAGAAAACATTCTCCTGTGCCTTATTTATTGTAGATTTAACTTCATTGCCCTTTTGTCTGCAGCCTTCCTCCTCTGGTCTGGACTGGCAAGCCAAGCAATCCCTGAGTGAGCAATCCTCCCCTCTAGAGACAGTGAACTTTAGCGGAGGGATGGTGTTAACAGTTGAGGGAGGCTTCTATCCACGACCAGATTTAGGGCTCTATCTAAATGCTTCTGGTTTCTAGAAGTCAGACCTATGGGAAAACAGAAAAAATACATGGCTATGATGTTACCTGTAGGTAATAAAATGTTTCTTCCATGCTGGCGTCCCTTGGAATGTCTTGAAATTATGAACATCAGGTATTCCACATCGAGGTCTGTGCATCATGTCCAGGGTAGATTTGTCCAGTTTCCCTGTCACATTTAGTCCAAAGAATTGTTGCATTACCTGAACTTTATTCTCCATGAAGTTCTCATTGGTTTTCATTTTTGTCATTGGAAATTTCTCTATGTTGAAGTCATAAAACAGTTTTAAGTACCTCTGGAAAAAAATACATTTGGTATTACATTATTATACATCGAAAGGTTTCTCTTGCAGCTCTGCATATATGGATCAACTGCCCACTGATGTTTTCAAACCAGGTATCAGGCAATTAATCATAATGAGGAAAAGATTTAAATTTTTTGTGCTGTCAAAGACGTGTTATAAACATTAGCAAGATTGATTCCTGGAAGCCCACTGAAAACACCTTCATGTCTCCACCTCTTCAAATTGTTTCTACTTTTTAAAACTTATTTCAGCCTCTAGCACACCATGGCATTCAGTAAGCCAGCAAAACCTTTATTGTCAGGATTCACAAACTATTAAGTTGGGATAAAATTTTCTTGCCTAAAAATACAAAGCTCAACACAAGTGGACAACTATGACAAATTCAAACAGCCTTAGAAAATGGGGAACTCATCTGAACTTACGTAGTTAGGGGAAAGACATGAATTGAAAAAATCATATTTTAAAAACTGTTCAGGAAGAAATGTCTGAGATAATGAAGGTAAAGAGTATTTTTGAATTATCATGGCAGACTGAAGTGGTTAAATTAATCAAGACATTGTTCAAAGCTCAGATTATTAACCTGCATTAAATGGTTATTGTAAAATGCCATAAGAGAAGTAGAACACCAATTATTTTTAACTAAAATCCCTTGGCCTAAGCTTTTTAGTAGAAGGGACAAATTCACCCACCAATTTTATAACATTCCTTCAAAACCAGTATCTCTTTATTACATTCCTCTTTGGCAAAGAAAAATTCAGTACTAAAATCAAATAGCCTCTTAAGCCAGTTTTCGAATAGTACTTTTCACGATAAAACTGGTCAATGCAATACATCTTAAAGACAGAAATCAGGCTACATAAATACTATAGCAGTTAATACTTACAACAGCATATGTCACATAGTTTTCTACAGAGAGTGTAGAAGAAACAGCTCTGGGAGCAATGACCTGCAGGACCAGGATCAAGAGAAGAAACTTCATTCTAAACTTCTCCTAAATGACTTAACCTAAGTCACCCTGTCCTTCTTAGTACAAGTTCCTTAAATGTCTCTCTTTATATAGCCTTTAGGCCAGACTCTATGAACATGAAATCCTTTGAGTGACTCATAGCTGATATCATCTTTCTATGTATTTAAAAAAACCCACAAACACAAGCATGACCTTACTCTAGGACCAACAATGGGTCAATTCCCATCTAACCCATCAAGGGGTCAGTTAGCAATGAAGTTATCACTCACTCAGACAACTCAAGGTTATATTTCTTCAAACAAAATAAGCCCCTGCTTCTGCCCACCCTGCAAAATAAGCCATTATACAAGAAATACTGAGCACCTAACTAAAAAATACATCTTTAGGAAGTTTAGTACCTGAATTTTCACTGTAATACTTTCTTTATGTTTGTTATAGGTAAACTAAACTTTTATTTAAAAAAAAAACACAGCCTGGCCGGACGTGGCTCAGCAATTGAGCATTGACCTAGGATTCAGGTGATCGGGGTTCAATTCCCTGTCAGGGCACATGCCCGGGTTGCAGGCTCAATCCCCAGTTGGGGGCGTGTAGGAGGCAGCCGATCAATGACTCTCTCATCATTGATATTTCTATCTCTCTCTCTCTCTCTCCTTTCCTCTCTGAAATCAATAAAGATATATTTTTTTAAAAAATTTTTAAAACCACGAATAACTAAATTTAGAGGATTAGGTAAATAAAATGCTTTTGCTAGAATAGAGGAATCCTCTCCAAGCTGAACCTAGCTCCCTAGAGAACTGTAGTGTAGAGGTTCCATGTTTATTACAGAAAAGTTAAAAATAGTATGACGCTTTGATGTTTGTTGTATGTGTTGTACAGGCTTAAGGCCTGTTTCTATAACTTCACATCTTCAACTGTCTGAGCGGAGGCCCATTCCCAAATGAGGAGCTGAGTAGAGAGATTCCAGAAGCAAATTTCCCTGGAGGAAACTGTCTGGAGTTGGCAGCATGAAAGTCAACACTTCAATTTTAGGTGTTAGAAAAAGTTTGCTTCTGGAACCTTTCTACCTCCCTATCAGCTCACCTTCCTTCCCCTGTGACCTAATTGTCCCATTAACACAGAATCTGCCTCTCAGTCAATAGAGAAAGTTTGAAGACTGAAAACCTTTAAGAATCAAAGAATGAACTGTGAAGGCTGAAGTGCAGAGTGGGGCAATCTCCTGATTCCATATGAACAGTCTGGGGTGGCGGTGAGAGCAAGATGGGTCATTGCTCTGACCCATCTTCCAGGCCTGGGGAATGCTGGCTGCTCCCTAGAATTCCCCTGAGGCTTTTGAGTAGGAAGGAAAGGAGGCTTCTGCGTGGTACCTGGCATCCACCTCCAAACTGCTTTTTTCAGACTCTGGGATTTGACCTCTAAAACCTTCAGGTATTTCATTTGAAAATGAGAATGGTAACCTTGGCTTCCTTATGCTTTTGTGATGATTAAATGAGACAATGTATTTTAAATACCAGCACATACTATAGGTGCTCATTAATATTCATTCTCTTCCCCTTGGCCTGAGAGGAAAACATCATGCATCTTAAATTTGCAACCAGGTGTGGCTGTAGGATTCATGGAAAGGAAGTTCACATAGAAGAATTATAAGATGACCTTTTCAAATATTGAATATATCTCAAGAATCATATGAGGTGCCTTGGCCAGTGTGGCTCAATGGTTAGAGTATCGGCCTTCACACCGAAGGGTTCTGGGTTCAACTCCAAGTCAAGGGCATGTACCTGGGTTGCAGGTTGAATCCCTGCCCTGGTTGGGGTGCATGTGGGAGGCAACTAGTCTATGTGTCTCTCTTACATGTCTCTCACATCAGTGTTCCTCTCTCCCTCTCTTCCTCTCTCTTCCCGCACCCTCCCTCCCTTCCACTCTCTCTAGAAATCAATGGAAAAAATATATACTGGAGTGAGAATTAACCAAATATATATATACATATGTATATATATGTGTGTGTGTGTATATATATAATCATAAGAGGAACATGGCAGTTTGGCTAGAAAGAAGGAAAAAAATGGGATTCAGCAGAAATATAGGAGGGGCTGGTTCTCCACCAGCAGGATGGTGCTCCATGAGGGCAGGGTCTGCCTGTGTTGTCCACCATTGTATTCTTGGTGCCTAAAACTACCTTGAAGTTAGTAGGTGTTCAATAAACATGTGTGAATGACTCTAGTTGGAGAATAAGGCCTAAAGGTTATCAGTAGTAAACTTCCTTTGTGGGAGCAATTACTACATAGAGGGTGTGTTCCTAAACCCCACGGACAGGACACAAGAACTGGTCTTGGTCATAGCAGGAAGGAATCTGGTTCTTGGAAGATTTCAGGAAGTCTAGAAAGTGTAGGATGTAAGATACAAAATTAAAGCTGTCTAAGATACAAAGGAAGTGAAAGAATGTTCTCACAGAAAGGTTTTGAAAAATAGAAAACTACACCCACATTTTAATGGTCTCTGGGTCTCGGGTCACTGAATTCCCTGTGGGTCAAGGAGGTGAGGGCCCTATGAGCAGCCATAGAACACTGCAGTGGCTGTAAGTTTAAGTTCTAGTGTCAAATAGGCCTGCTTCAGAATCTTAGATCCATCATTTTATGACCTTGGACAATCACTTTAATCTCTTTAAGACTTCATTTCTTCACTTGTAAAATAGAAATAATAGTAGTTACCTCAGGAGTTAGAAGAATTACATTAAAATATAGAGAAAAGTATTTGGCTTACTGCTGACACACCTTAATAGTTCAATGATCTGACAGCCTCCTTTTACGGCACTCTTATGTAAGACATTTGAAAGAGATTGGTACTGGGAATGACAGGGGAGACCAATTACATGCTCAGACTTCTCTCCTGTGGTAGAAGGAGCTGCAAAAAGATTATGCTCAAGTCCTTATGACTTTGATTACGTTTAGCTTTAAATCTTAGCTCTAGAAACAGTATCTCTTTCTCTCTATACCCCTCAGAGACCTAACCCTTCCATCCATAATCAGCAAAGCCCTAGGCAGTAGAAGACAGTAGTCTAGACCTGACTAATGGTCACAGGGTCTGCAACTGTGGCAAATTAAAGATAGCATCTTGACCTGAGTTATGTTAATGACCCCCGGGCTACTTTCCTATGAGACCAGACAGAGGGACACAGGAGCAGACCTCAGAAATGGCCTCAAGACCTGAAGAAATGATTTATTACTCTTATCTCATCTCTGACCAATCAGCCCCCCGCACGAACTCAACCCCCTCCCCGGCAGTACCTTGTGATGTTGCCCTCTAGAATCTGTAGCCTACGTGCCGTGCGTGCGTGGGGAAATAGGATCTTTAGCATTAGTTTCCTGTCTCTGGATTGGCCAATTCAACATTAAACTATTTTTCTTTCTAGCTTGCTTGTGTATTTCTTTGCGCCAGTGCATGCAGACAGATGGACTCAAAAACATTGTGGTTCCAGTAGCAATCTTGACCACAACTAGAAACTAGGTGTCCCAGCAGAGACATGAGTTCCAGGAGACACTGAAGGAAGTGAGAATCATGGGGCCACTGGTAATGCTCTATGTGAAGAAAAACATGTCTATGCAGAAAGTAGCCAAGATCAGAGTTCCTCTTAAGAGGGACAACTTTTGCTGATAAGAGTTTCCTTATTAAAAGGCAGATTTTATAACACGAAGCTTCTCTATCCCATAGTTTCCTTTCTGAGCTTGACACCAGGACATTTTAAGGTAGAACCCTGATATAATCATCATCAACTAGTTGTGGTGTCATCTCTGAGGATTCAGAGGTAAAAGGAAAAGTGGTCTTTGGCCAAGACAAGGAAAGAGATATGCTCCCCAAATACAGCAAGAAATTTCTTAGTGACCCTTTCACCAAGTCTGTTCATGCAGAAAGAAAATTTTAGCTGGTTAACCCTCTCCTTTTATGGATAAAGAAATGGAAATCCAGCAAAGGGAAATGAATGGCCTGAGAAAACGCCTGGGAGGTCTCTTGATTCTGTCCTGACCGGTTGTCACAACACACTTCATTTTGTTGTGTGTATCACTTTAATTTTTCTTCAGATTATGTCTACCTAAGGGTATCTTACTAATGCAAACTACAAAAATAATACTGTGATACCCTCAAGCTTTCCAGTTAAAGCCACGCTGTCCCCTTTGCTGTTGTGAGGGCCAGGAGTAGCCAAACAGTCCTGGGAATGGTGTGGGTGAGGAGAAGCAGAATGCACCCCCCAAGAATGTGCCACTGTGGCATATAGATTATATCGAACTGAAGACAATCAGGGCCCAGCAGACCCAGAAGAGCTTTTTATCTCCCTCCTAACTGTCATCAGAGATAACTTTCTATCAAAAAGACTTATGTGCATGCCTCCCCCCACTCCCACCCCAAACTTCTGTTTACAAAACATCTGCTCTTTGTATTTTCTTATGCATTGTCTTCCTCCCCTTTGAAGCCCCAGACTGCCCCCCCTCCCTTCAGCTTGGCTCAGGATGGCATATAAGCCTCAATTGCCTGACTACTGGGGAGTTTCAGATTTTTAAAAAATTTTTAAAATGTATGTTCCAATCACAGTTGACATACAGTATTATATTAATTTCCGGTGTACCATGTAGTGATTAGACATTTCTATACCTTATGAAGTGATCCCCTGATAAATCTAGTACTCATCTGGGGAGTCTCATATTTTTATAAGCCTCCTGTATTATACACAAAATTTGTTTATCTCCTGTTAATATAGCTCATGTTAAATTAACTATTAGACCAACCAAAGAACCTAGAAGGGAAGAAGAGAAAAAATTTCTGCCCCTACATAGGTGACTGTAGATTTCCAGTCACCCTGGCCATTTCTGTGGACTTCGACAAATTAACTTTTCCATGCTTAATTTTCTTCATATGTAAAATGGGTTACTATTAAGTTTTTATAAAGAATAAATAGCATAATCCATTAAAAGCACCCAGCTTCATATGATAGGGCCTCAGTAAATGTTCATTCTTTGCCTTCT